CTCTCTCTCTCTCTCTCTCTCTCTCTCTCTCTCTCTGTCTGTCTGTCTGTCTCTGTCTGTCTCTGTCTGTCTGTCTCTGTCTCTGTCTCTGTCTCTCTCTGTCTCTCTCTGTCTCTCTCTGTCTCTCTCTCTCTCTCTCGCTTTTGTGGAGGAATCGAAACGACGACCTCTGGCTGGCTGATCAGCACTGGTGCTTTATCACAAAATTGATCATGCAGTGCTTTCTCCTCCTGCTGCTGCTGCCGCTGCTGCTACTGTTACTGCTCCTTTTTTTTTCCTTTCTCTTTTCCCCCCTTCTCCTACTAGAACTGCTAGAAACTGCTATCACGGCTACTACTTCCCGAACAGCTATCACAGCTTTTCTAATACTAGAACTGCTATCACCACTGCTGCAAGTAGAGTTGCTATCACCACTACTTAGTCTTCTACTAGAACTGCTATCAAGAGAACAACTACTACTAGAAGTGCTATCACCACTACCGCCCAGTACTACTGCCGCTGCTCGTGGGGTAGCTAGCTATTCCTGCTGGTATTGCTGCTACTACTGCTTCATTTCTTTCCCCCCCCTCTTTTTTGGTAACTTGGCCTCTCGACCAAAACAGCCGTGACTTCCAAAAAAAAAAAAAAAAAAAAAAAAAAAAAAAAAAAAAAAAAAACCCACCGTGATATCGTTGCTACTGCTGCCGTTATCTAGACTGATAACTTAAACTGATCAGAACTAATCCTGCTGCTGACCTGGCCGCTCCATACCGGCACTACTACAAGTCTTCCCCCGTATAGAACGGACGGTCATTCTAGCCGTATTTGGTGCAAATTTCAGTCTAGATACCAGGATAATCACCGTACGTTATATTCGGGGTAAGAACAGGGGGGGGTGCAGCTGATCAACCACACTCTCATCACTCGGAGGTAATCAGTGCACCCCTTCTGGCAATTACAGCTAGAACTGCCGCAATGGTGCACCGGCAGCTCTGCAGTTGCAGATCTTACGAAGAACTAGGAGGGGGAGGAGGAGAAGGAGGAGGAGGAGGAGGAGAAGGAAGAGAAGGAGGAGGAGAAGGAGGAGGAGGAGGAGGAGAAGGAAGAGAAGGAGGAGGAGAAGGAGGAGGAGGAGGAGGAGGAGGAGGAGAAGCAGGGAACTGGGACAGGCAGTGGAAGTCGAGGGGCTATGCCTCGTAGATGCTCTTGGTTGCAGGTTTTTGTCCTCCTTTTTCTTTTTCTTTTTTTGCGGACAGGGGGGGGGAGGGAGGCGGGGGATGGGTTGCTCGTGGTGGTCTCGCACAGTTGGAAAAGAGTATAAAAATGTTCAGCGCCGTTCAAAATAGAGAATTGTTGACGTCAACAATCGAGAGAGGATGCACGTGGCTGTACACCAACGGGCCCGCCGATCGCAGCTGCCACGTCATCTGCCGTCCACGGAAAACGGTTGACTGCCACGTGTATCTAATGACATCGCAGCTGCCACGTCATCTGCCGTCCACATTTTTCGTCCATGATCCGATCGCAAGAATCGAGCACGCGACATCCCTCGCGGGATTTTGAACACGCTGGATGAAAGCTTCTACCTGACTGCCACGTGGATTTGGATGTGCAATCTGGTTCACAGCTTCTGCCTGACTGCCACGTGGATGTGGATGTGGACGTCTTCTGGTTCACAGCTTCTGGCCGACTGCCACGTGGATTTCGATGTGTAATCTGGTTCACAGCTTCTGCCTGACTGCCACGTGGATGTGGATGTGGACGTCTTCTGGTTCACAGCTTCTAGCCGACTGCCACGTGGATTTCGATTTGTAATCTGCTTCACAGCTTCTGCCTGACTGCCACGTGGATGTGGATGTGGATGTCTTCTGGTTCACAGCTTCTGGTCGGCTGCCACGTGGATTTGGATGTGCAATCTGGTTCACAGCTTCTGGCCGACTGCCACGTGGATTTGGATGTGCAATCTGGTTCACAGCTCTGACTGCCACGTGGATGAGGATGTCTTCACAGATTCTGGCCGACGGACAGGGGGATGAACCTAATCAGATTTACAGCATCTGTCGAGCTACGACGTAGAACTAATCTGTGCCTGGTTTAGACCTTCTGCCCGACTGCCACGTGGATCGATTTGGTGATGATGAAAAGGTCTCACTTAATCTTCGTCAAAGCTCACTCTCTTGTTGGTGTCGAACCTGATGAATCACCCATCCACAACAGCACCATGATTAATACTAGTAATTGGGTATTTGTCCCAGAATTAGTAATTATTAATTTACTCCTTAATTAATACTTCAATTAATTAATTAATTGATTAATTATGAACCGCATTTAATTTCTAAGCTTGGAAACAGATGCGGAGGAGAACAGTGGCTTGTTTTCTTCTTCTTCTTCTTAATGGCGATTCCCAAAATATATATATATATATTTTGTCATCGGACTAGCCAGCCGAGGTAAAGGGCCTCGCTCCGCCACTCACCACATGCACAAAAGACAAAAGATATGGCGGTGTATCTTGCCATGTTTTGGAGGAAGATTCATTCTCAATTTGCACACTTGGTGAGTGGCGACGCGAGCCCCAAATTCAATTTTTTTTGTCTATTCTGACAGGGTGGCCTTTTTTTTTTTTTTTTTTTTTTCAGGGTGGCCTTTTCAGACCTACAGTGGCTTCTAGAATCGCGGCCCGACAATTTTTATTTATTTATTTTCGGATCCCGTACACGATGACCAAACTACGTGGAGTTTTGTTTTTTTTTTTTTTTTTTTTTGAACTTCGCGCGGGGGGTCGTCTTTAGACTAAGCGGGAAATATTCTGGAAATTCAAAGCCATCATCTGTCTTGGCGCCAAAGTTGGGTGGGTAGAAAAGGGAGAAGGTAGGTGGGAAAGGGAGAAGGAAGGTGGGAGAGAATTCGAACTCGTCAAAACTCGGGTCAAGCGGATTCATAAAACGCACCCCTCATTACTGCAATCCGCGATCCAGACACCCCCATTACTGATCAGCTGGAAAAGGAAATGAATACCCGTTCAGGGAGGGGGAAAAGCGGGGGAACCTTATCCACAAAGAGGCGGCTTTCACATGGTAGGTGAAGCAGTGTGTGTAACCGCATCGAACGCCTGCTTTCTCCTCCCTTCAGACTTCCCGACATCAACTGAGTGACGGGACATTCACGAGAAGCGTTGAGTGACTGAATTTTGGCCGTAGCCACGGTGAGATACCAGGGAACTCCAGGTGTGAGTACGCCCTACCTGCGCTCCGTGTAAGTCCCGCGGCGCGCTCGCGCGTACAGACAC